CACCCAAATCCCTTTCACTTCACCCTCTTTCAAGATTATTTCTTACATTCCCTCTCAGATAGTTTCACAGCTCCAGACAGACAGCTACAAATATATATATATATACATGTATATAATAATATAAGGAAAAAGAATCAGAGGGGAGACGAGGAGAATTTTTTACCCAGAGAGTTGTCACAGTCTGGAAAGCACTGCCTGAAATGTTGGTGGAAACAGATTCCATAACAGCTTTCAAAAGGAATTGAATAGGTACTTAAGAAGGGAAAAATTGCTGAGCTATGGAGTAGGAACGGGGGAGCAGGACCAGTTGGTAACTCTTTCAAAGAGTGGGCACCCAAACGATGGGCCAAATAGCCTTCTGTGCTGTAAGATTCTATGATTCTACAGAAACCTTGAGAATAAACAGTACTTCCCCATTACTCATGTTTCTGAGTCAGTGCATATGTGTTTAAATCAGATTTCACATATTATTAAAGCATCAAGTCCAATTGTGGAGCGGTTATGATGATTGGAAAATAGAACAACTGACCAATTGGCTCTGATTATAATTTGTAATGAGGAAATGTGTAGGGAGAAGGGGTTCTATGTATATCTGCCAATGAAACACCAACAATACTGTTAAATGTTTTTGAAATAAAGTTACTGTGGAGGGGGTAGGAAAATTAGAGGGATTAGGTTAGGGCATTGTAAGAGATTTCTGCTGTCTTGCGCTGATCCACATTTGTTTTCAACAATGCCACAATGAAGGCAATATCAGTCTTTGTCATGATTAATAATAGTCCATGCATTTGATATAGTGCCTTATTACGTCTTCGAGATGTCTCAAAGCACTTCAAGGAATATACTGTGAATGTAAAGTGAATTGGGCTGTTTAGGCACTAGTTTGTATTGTATTTGGCAATCTACAACCAATCTCAGCTTCAACATTTCTCCCCATTTTAGCCTTAAGACTGCAGCTTTGAAATGATAAGATCATGAAAGATTTTGGAAAATTCATAATTTTAGTCTTCATTTGGTGTTTCTTTTTAAAAACTGCAGATTTCTGGCTTTTACTAATCATGGAAAAAAGTATTGGGAAAGAACAAAGAATTTTGAAAAAAATCTGAATTCAGTGTTAATTTGGAAACTGTTTTTCTGTACTTTCTAAAAAAAATTCAAATTAGGGCTGAAATGATAATTACAAAATTCTATACAATTTTAGTTTGGTAGAGACAGCTATACTGGGAGTTGCAGTAATTAAGAAGTAACTCAGAGCTGTAATGGGAAGACAGAGGGAGCATTTGTGGAAGGATGAGATTAGTGGCCTTAAAACATAGCAGCAATGTCCAACAAACAACCATGTGAGTGAATTAACAAATTTATCCGGGGGATTGTTGGCTAGGACACCGGGAGAGAGAAACTCTCTTCTCTTTTCAAATAGTGCCGTGGGACATTTAACATCCACCTGAACAGAGCCTTGATTTAACGTCTCATCTGAAGGATGGGTGGAGCCTACATACAATTTACAATATAATTTAGATTTATATAGCTCCTTGCATGTCAGGAGGACATCACAAAGTGCTCAAAACAGCTGGCTGGGCACCTGAGCCGGGGAGGGGAGGAGCTGAAGTGGATGGGTGGGTGGATGGTAGGTGGGGAAAGATAACCAAAAACGCAGTCAAAGAGGTAAAGCTTGTGTTGGGTTTATAAAACTGGGAGTGAGGAGACGAGACAAAGAGATTCTGGGACAGAGTTACAGAAAGCAACAACAAACAACAAATTACATTAAAAAAGGATATTGGAAAAATCAAGAAGATACAGAGGAGGGCATCCAAAATGATTGAGGGAATCGAAGGATTGGACTCTGAGGAGTGACTAATTAAATTGGGCATGTCGCAGCAGAAAAGAGAAGATTGAGAGGCAATGTGATTGCTGTCTTTAAGATTCTAAAGGGGCCAAACAATATAGATCATGACAGGCTGTTTCAACTTGTCCAGAATAGTAAAACCAGAGGACACGGCCTGCGATTGATTGAAGGGTAAATTCAGAACGAATCTACGCAAACACTATTTCAGTGAACGAACAGTGAAACTGTGGAATAGGCTCTCTGGGGAAACAGTTGAAGCAGGAAATGTTGATTCTTTCAAACAGAGATTATAGTTTTCTTTTAGGAAATAACATTAGGGGATACAGCACATAGAGTGTTTGGAACATATGTGCATGTGATCGCCAGGAAGATGGAAGGCCAACCAGATGGACCTCGTCTTTCTTATGGACATTTGTATAGCGCATTTCACATCAAAGCTGGGGTAGAATGGCTGATAGCTCGTCCCGATTGGTGGAGCAAAAAGGGCAGGGGACATGTCTAAATGTGGAATAAGGATCATTGAATTGAAGAGTTAGTCACAGCCAGAGTGGCAGCACACACTGAGAAGCCGTGGATTCCTAATCTCATATTTCCAAACGCTAATCTGTTAATTAGCTGTGTGTGTTGCTCAGTTTAACACCTCATCATTCACCACTAGAACCTGGCCAGTATAAATGTCACCCTTTTAACTCTCCACAACAACAACTTGTACTTACATAACTTTTTTCACATCGTCAAATGTCTAAAAATGCATCACCAAGACGGAGTGGGCAATATACACCTGCTTTTCCTAAATAAATTAGCCTTTTGTCATTCAGGTCACCTTATAAATGCAAGTTGTTGTTGTACATACCCTACATACAGCCCAAAACTGGCAGTGAGTCAAAGAATGAGACCCTATTTAGTCAGGCTCCAGGTTTGTATAGGGCTAATAACATTCCCCATTTGATTGATTGATTGATTGATTGATTGATTGATTGATTGATTGATTGATTGATCCTGACTGTGCAATCACAACAACAACTTACATTTATAAAGCGACCTTCATGTGGAGTAGAGTTGGTCAACTCTCCATCCACTCGTCTTGACGTTGTGTTCTGCCACTATTGAGTGTATTACTCTGCGTGGGTTGTGCTATATAAACGTAAGTTGTTGTTGTTGAGCACTTAACAATAGCGGAGCTTGACGCCAAGCTGGGGAGAGAGGGGAGGTGTGATTATTGTACCGACAGCAGACTTTCGCGACTCCCTTGTGAATTACTGGTAGAATGTTTTTGGGTGCAGTGGCAGTGGAGGCCGGGAGACGCAGCTAGAACTCAGGACACTTTGTCCCTGTCTTTTCCATGATGCTCTCGCTGTGACTTGCCTCCCAGAAATCACCAAAAAAAAAATTCCAAAAGCAGCTTGCACGCCCACGGCTGCCTTGACTATTGCCTTGAGGCCAAGAATGTTCACACAAGCACAGAACAGCATCCCTAGGCTTTTTGCTCTGAATATTTTTGTATTATTGTGATGGATCTCCTGCATGTGGAGCCACTCAGGAGCTACAGTAAAGTCAACTTTTGTACACCACTGATTGTCTCTGGAGACGATCTATTAGTATAAAAGCAGTATTAAACTTAAACCACTTGGCTTAGCTGGGTTACAGATTGTTCTTGGAACGTGAACCAAAGTGAATGGAGAAATGCACCTTTGGTAGATATAAGAAGCTCAGGGTTTGATCTGGTACAGATGATTGATCCTGATAACAACTGAGTCAGAAAGTTGTGGGTTGAAGCCCCAAGTTTGAGCTAAAGCACTCGCTTTGCAAGCGAGAGACCTGAGTTCAATTCCAGTCAGGCGGAACCTTTGGCAAGTTTCCGTACTCCACACGCCTATTAATAATTCCTCCAAAACAATAATAAATTGGTCATTTTCAATCTACGACTGTTTGTGGGACATTGCTGTGCATAATTGGCTGCAGCGTTCGCCCACAAATATAGTCAATTCACTGTACAGTGTGTTCCGTGAAGCACTTTGGGACGTCCTCCCGACGTGAAAAGCGCTATATCAAATGCAAGGATTATTATTATTATTATAACACTCCAGTGCTGGGGGAGCACAGTATTATCGGAGGTACATTACTTTGAATGAGCTTAAAACAACACTGGGGTTGCCTGTTCAGATGAATGTTTAATCCACGACTGTTTGTGGGACGCTGCTGTGCGCAATTGGCTGCCACGTTTCGCCCACAAAATATACAGTCAATTCACTTTGTTATATTCTGTGAAGCACTTTAAGATGTCTCGAAGATAAGGTACTGTATCAAATGAAAGTCATTATTATACTGTTCTGACACCCTTTGCAAAGGGAATAGTGTTTGTCAGAACTTCCTGTATCCATATTGGCTGCTATGTTTGCCCACAAATACAGTAACTACGCTTGCCAAGAATTCCCATGAGGTGCTTTGTACAATATTTGATGTTGTAGGCATTGGATCAAAAATAAGAATGATTATAAATTGGCCATTCACCTTGTGACTGTTTGGAAAATCTTGGACTGCATTAAATAGCTGCCATGTTTGTTTACATGAAATTCACTACATCTTCCAACAATGATTGCGTTATGACGTCTTGAAATATAAGGTGCCATAAAAATGTGAGTTCTTACTTTCCGTGTTTCTGAGGGAGGAAAGAGGTGAGACTGTATTTACAAAAAGGTCAGGCGTAGAGAGGTGCTGGAGAAACAGATGGAGGGAGATAACTGTCAGGGTTTCTCACTGGTTGGTGAGTTGAATTTCACTTTAATTTACCCAGTCAGTAGCGATGCATTACACAAAGTCCCAGGTTTCAATCCGGTGCTGAGCGGGCTCTGGCCTGCTCTATGTCCCCTGCACTGCCTACCACACCATCAGCTGCCAAGCCTTCAGCCCCTCCGCCCCCACCCTTTGGAACTCCATCCCGGAACTCCTACACCCTAGCACTCTTCCTTGACTCCTTCAAGACCCATCGGTCTTTGGTCACCCTCCTTACCCCTCCTAATCCCAACTCCCAGGAAAGGATCAGCTGTGAGATGCCTGAAATTAAATAGTCTGCTAAAACTCATTGTCAAGGATTGCAGATGACGAAGTGTAACAAAGCATGTCTCCATTATAGCTAAGACGTGATTGAGTTATAATGGATGCTTCTTTGGCTACAGGGACAAGGGAAGCTGCATTTGTGTATGCGATCTCGTCTTCTGGAGTCGCCTTTGCTGTCACCCGTGCGTGCAGCAGTGGAGAGCTGGAAAAGTGTGGCTGTGATCGCACTGTACATGGCGTGAGCCCAGAGGGTAAGTCCAACACTGTGGCTCCAGTGTCGCATAATCAGCCCTCCCTTGTTTCTTTCAAAGCCTGTCTTAAGATCCTCATCTTCTATCGCACCTTGGGTGACCCAAGATGGATAGAGTTCCGGACAGTGGGGGTAGAATGGTTGCAAGCTTGCCCACTGATGGTGGTGGAAATTGGGCAGGGGACGTGAAGCAGGCTGGTGTTCGCTGAACATTCCCACCAACAAGAACCACACCAGGATGTGAGCTCAGTCCAGGCTGATACTCCAAAGCAGTACCAGGGGGAGTGCTGTACTGTCAGAGATACTCATATGTTAAACTAGACATTAAACCTAGGTCCCGTCTGCCTGTTCAGGCAGATGTTAAAAATCCCACTATTAAAAGGAGAAGGGAGTTTTTCCTGTTGTCCTGGCCAACAATCTCCTAGTTTAGTTGGCCGTTCACTTTATGGCTGTTTGTGTGAGGCCTTGTTGGGTGCAAATTGGCCGGTTTGTGAGCAAATACAGTGGCTGATCATCCACAAACAGCATTGAGCTGAATAACCGATTTGAATCTGAGTGAATTTGGGCAAGGACCAACATTGGCCAATACACTAAGGGAACACCAAGGCACTGATCTTCTTCCAAACAGTGCCTTGGATCTGAATCATCTCCTCTAGTATACTCTAGCCCGTATTTTAGCCATTACCCAATGACTATGAAAGTGACTGAAGGATTCCAATTCTCTGGTTCGTTTCAGTCTAGATCTCATGTTGAAGAATTAGAGGAGAGGTTCAAAAAAGTCTCTTCACTCTGAGGATTGTTAGGGTATGGGATTCACTGCCTCACATGGCTATTGAGTCCAAATCAATAGAATCATTTAAAAGGGAACTGGATAACAAAAAGTGAGCAGAAAATTAAAGGAAAGTGGGGAAAGAGCTGAAGATAGGATTAAAAATCAAGGATAATTATAAAAGAAAGAAGTGACACCCACACCTGTGGTCACCTGTATTGATCATTTCTGTTTTTTATAACCTTTTTTCCCCTCTCTGAGTGAAGCATGTTTTGGTTAATATTGTCTCCTCGTTCGTGTTGAGTTTAGGTTTCCAGTGGTCGGGCTGCTCTGACAACATTGCTTATGGCGTGGCTTTCTCCCAGTCGTTTGTGGATATAAGGGAAAGAAGCAAAGGTGCCTCATCAAGCCGGGCATTGATGAACCTGCACAACAACGAGGCAGGAAGGAAGGTACGTCCATAGTTTATCATTCTAAACCTCCAAACTCTCTTACACTGTTGTGGTGATGAAGGACAATATTCTGGGATTAGTTGAGCAGGGAGAGAGGGCGCACTACATACACTATGTACAGAAAGTGCACAAATTCACCAACACTGTCTGCATCACAATGTATTCTCAGCGTCACTAAAATCAGCTCTGTTGCTTATCATGGCTCCTGCCTCTGCCCAGCTGCCTATGACCTCACTGAAGTCCTGCAGATCTGACCTCCAGCTCCGCCCTCTTCCTGTCACTCATCGGGGAGAGCAACGGGAAGAGAGGGGCAGCTGGGAGGTAAAGGCGTCAATCACATCCCTCATTTAATCCCGCCCTGACTATGATGGGTTGACCCCAAAAATGGGTGAAAATTATATTATTTCTACATGCATTCCTTTCCTTTAATTATCCCTCAGGGTGCAGAAATTATGGCTAAAAATGTGTCCAGAAAACCTGATCCTTGACAATAGATTTGAGGCTAAACAATCTTCCCCACTACCTCCACCAACTGATTTCAGGGGAATGGGTTCTCCCTCCAGGAGGAAGAGAAAAGTCTTTAATCGGGCCATAGAGAGTGTGAATTTTACCAGAAAGTAGCCTAAAAAAAACATTATAAAGTAAACATGGAAAGTTCTGGCAGTTAGAATCACAAAATAAGTTCCCATGGTGCAAAAACACCAAATTTGCTTCAATTCCAAAATGGCTGGAGGGAGGAATGATTCTCCTACAGTTAGGAGGTGTCCAATCTGAAACCTATCACTAAGGCCAATTTCCAGTTGATACAACATTAATTGGAAGGAGTGTAGTGAGTTTAAGGATTTTGACCTGACAGATTACAATCATCTTTTCTGTCATGTTGATAACGATGATTTCAGAATTTATTTATCTCCAGATCAACATTCCTCAAATTAGCCTTTGGGAATAAAATTTCACTTCTAATTAATCTAATTCTGTAAAACACTTTGAGGTGCTTCTTTCACGTGAAAGGTATTGTACGAATCTAAGCTGTTGACTGGCTAATTTATTCGGACGGTTATTGGCCAAGACTCCGGGAGAAACTCTTCCATTGCGTTGCAGGATTTTTAACGTCCACCTGACAGGGCAGCCAGGTCCTAGGTTTAACGTCTCATCCGAAGATCGTCGCCTCTGACAATGGAGCTCTGCTCCAGTATTGCATTGGCGTGTCAACCTGCACTGGGAGCTCAAATCCCCATGTGGGGCTTGAACCTGCGATCTGTGACCCAGAGGCAAGCCTGAGCCAAGCTGACACAGGATGTTGCAAAAACTGAATGGGGCCAAAACTCCCTATTAAAGCAACACCAGCACTTTCCAACATACAGTTGCTTCTAGATTGAGTTACAGATTCACTTAGAAACCAAAATACATTGTACAATACGAGCCTGAGGTTGTCAAAAATAAATACGTGGTTGTGTGGCAGCTGAATATTGCAATGTCTATGCCCCTTATTCCATGCTGACTCTGCAGAAGAGATATCCATTATAGTCCCATTCTTCTGCCTTTTCTCCATGTATATGTGTAAACCCAGTCGTGGTCCCTTCACAAAACTCTTCAGCTGTTCTCAAGGCTCGGGTGATTACAACAACCAGACAACCACAGGAGCAGATCAGTGCCTGTCCTTCTATTATCTAGCTTCCGAGTCAACAGGTTGTGTTTCCAACTCCTACATCAGGATTTGAGCTCGAGCATTCCAAGACAATACCAGCCTGAGGGGCACTGTTTAAATGCACGTTGTTGTTGTAAGCTCATCATTCCGTGCATTGCCAGGGGGAGCGCTGCATTGTCAGAGGTGCTTTCCTTCAGATGAGGCATTTGACCGAAGTCTCAACTTCCTGCTCAGATGGACATTAAAGACCTTTTGGCAATATTTGAAAAGAGAAAGAAGTTTCTCCTGATGTCCTGGCCAACAATTCTCCAGCATGCTCAACCAATATGCGGAAGGGAGAAAGAATGTGAACTCTGAAATTCTTAAAATGTGAATTATCACATTGAATTGCTTAAGAAACATTGTATAATACTGTATCTATCATGAGAAGTGTGTCAGCCTTACTCATGCCACTGAGTTAGAAGGTTGTAGGTTCAAGCCCCACAGCGGACTTGGAATCACATAATCTAAGATGATCTTCCAATGCAGTGCTGGCGGATGTTGCATTGTTAGAGGTGCCGTCCTTTAATAAATCCTTGCATTTGATATAGCGCTTTTCAGGTCGGGAGGACATCCCAAAGCGCTTCACAGAATATACTGTAAAGTGAATTGACTGTATATTTGAGGGCGAACGCGGCAGCCAATTGCGCACAGCAATGTCCCACAAACAGTCGTAGATTGAAAATGACCAATTTATTATTGTTTTTAGTTTTGGAGGGATTATTATTAGGCTCTGTGTGGAGTAAGGAAACTTGCCCAAGGTTTCGCCCTGACCTGCCTGGAATTGAACTCAGGTCTCTCGCTTGCAAAGCGAGTGCTCTAACCACTGAGCTACAGGACTCCATTTAGATGAGACGTAAAACTGAGATCCCGTCTGCCTGTTCAAAATCCCATTGTATGATTCGAAAAGAGGTGGGAGTTTCTCCCTATGTCCTGGCCAACAAATCATCCCAAATCAAATTACTCATTCACTCCATGGCTATTTGCAGGACACTGCTGTACACAATTGGCTGCTGCGTTTCACACATATAACACACAGTCCAATCCACTTCACAGTATAATCCTGTAATAAGGTGCTATATCAAAGACAAGGATTATTATAGGAGTTCAAGATTGGTTATTTTTTGACAACATCTTTCCTTTTTTCTTCAAGGCCATCCTGAACAACATGAGGGTGGAATGTAAGTGCCACGGAGTGTCTGGGTCCTGTGAAGTGAAGACCTGCTGGAGAGCTATGCCTCCCTTTAGGAAAGTAGGCAACGTATTAAAGGAGAAATTCGATGGAGCCACTGAGGTGGAACAGAGGAAGGTTGGTTCCACCAAAGTCTTGGTGCCCAAAAACTCCCAGTTCAAGCCCCACACTGATGAAGATCTGGTCTACCTGGACTCCAGCCCAGATTTCTGCGACCACGACATGAAGAGTGGGGTTCTGGGGACCGCTGGCCGTCAGTGCAACAAGACTTCTAAGGCCATTGATGGCTGTGAGCTCATGTGCTGTGGCCGTGGCTTCCACACCCAGGAGGTGGAAATTGTGGAGAGATGCAGCTGTAAATTTCATTGGTGCTGTTTCGTCAAGTGCAGGCAGTGCCGCAAAGTGGTGGAGATGCACACGTGTCGGTGATGGGGGAACTGCCCCTGACTGATCTGGTCAAAAGATAACACCAGGACAGACTCCTGTCACCGTCGGTGGGTGGAGGGGGGAGGGGGGGAACTTGAACACTCCAGAGATTGCAAGAGAGAGAGAAAACTTTATTTAAAATGTCCCAAAGGATCCTTGTTTTATTATTTTTTATTTATTGCTGACTAACAAAGATCTGGAGGTATTTCTCCATTGACTTTTTTTTACTGCTCCGGTTGAATTTACCTCTCTGTTACTGATGCTGCTTTTATTTGTGGAACCAAGGAGGCGCTGATTGGATTGGGCATGAAATGGGCATGGTTGCACAAGGCCTTATTTTGGAATTGATACCTCTACAGTTGTACACTGCTCTCTTACGAACAGATCTGCTCAAGGCAGCGCCTGGATACTTCCTCTGATGTTCCTTCATTTCTGCTCCTCTCTGATCGGAACCATTGGCCCTCCCCTTGCCTTGGCCCGCCTCCTCCTAACCTCCCCTTCCATCACCTGCTCTCAGGCACCTCTCAATGCTTCTGGTTTGTGCTCATATCTCTCCAGGTCCTTCCAGCAGCAGCTCGTAACGTCCGCCTTCGGATTGACAGCCCTTTGTGCATTGGAGTCCGTCCCAGAGAGTGTGCAGTGCCCCGTGACAGCTATTGATTAAATGTATCAATACCTCCCAATCGCGTACATTCCAAACTGTGGTGTCAGTACCCACTTTCACACAACTTCCCGTGGCCTTGCAATGATTGGCATATTGTGTCGTTCCCCTCCCCTCCACTCACTCCCCCCAAAACATTGTGTATATGTGTCAGAGAATTTGTTTGTAACAGAGAAGAAAGACAGCACTATATATCGTCAAAAAGTAATTTAGATGATACCAATTGTAACATAATGTATAAAGTTGGTGAAACAAGACCAAATACAGATAACCCCCTTTTCATGGGCTGAATATGTACCCTGGACAGACTAACAGAATGTATTGTAATATTTCAGTTACAAAGAGACTAGGATGTCAAGTCAAAATGAATCCCTGTGGATTCACACTCAAACACTGCTTTGAGTACCATGTAAAGCACAGGACAGGTTTTAGTGTGTTCTGTGATGCTGGCTTTCATGTATTGTTGACCGTATTATCTGACGTGAAACAAAGTTTGTGCTACAGATGTAAAGATCTAGACTTCTATCTTTGATCCATCGCTATTCCCTAAGTTAAATTCCCTCTGTGTATACACGCTCCCTTCTCCTCAAGGCAAATAGATGGGCCAGGCTTGCAAAAGCAACATCATTGTACTGACTTGAATGCTGCTATCTTAAACTGTGTGGTACTTTTTCTAAGATTCAAGTATATATTATTTTTGTAATATAGATGTTTTGTGGTAATGTTAACATATATTAGCTTGACTCACATTTTTAGGGGATTTTTTACAGCAAAAAAATGTTTTTCTTACAGTTAGGTGTCGCAGTATTTTGTATGTACTAAAATTTAACGAGTGTCTCTTATTTAAGTGACAGTGAATGAATACGGTCTGCCTTTGTTATTGCTTCATCCTAGTACCTGCCAAGTCACTTCCCCACCATCATCCCCTTACCCCACCCACTCCCCAACCCCTAGAAGTTTGTTACTGTCTTTGCTCAAATAGACAATGAGGACTTTATAGAAATATTACAATTGAGCTTCTTCACCCTCCGTCCCGTCTTGAGGGACACCCTGAGGCACCAAAATTCCACATTGTCTCAGCTTGTAAGTTGATTTTGATTCCAACCTGAATCCAACCCCCAGCTCGGGTGCAAATCCCTGACTGTCCAGTGCCTTGGGATCTTCTCCCGACGTGAAAGTTACTGTACAAATGTTGTTGTTGTTGATTGTCTTCAACATTTTGGATGGTGCAGAATTGTAGGAACCTCCTCAGTTTGATCTTAATTTGGACATTTCCCGCACTTCTTAGAAAGAAACCTGCTTCAAAATTAAGACTCAATTGAAGAATTTTCTACAATTCTGCGGGATCTGAAATTTTGTAGCCAAAATTGTTTTACGTAGACTAAGACGAGGTGGAATCTGGAACTCAGTGTAGTGGCTATCACAAGCTTCCTGGTATAGTTGTAGTCTAACACAATGAGTAGTGCCTGAATGATTTAATTACTTGTAACAAACACCCACATAGAGATTAGGGCTGGCCTTTGGGAGCTTGACTGATCGGTGAGCTCTCGATCGGAAGGGGCAGAGAGTAGATTCAAGGTGATTCTCCACGTTTGCAGGGAAAATTATATTAAAATGGACAATGGGATTCACCAAGCAAGGAAGAAATGAGGGGGATTTGGGGGATGTTGACAGTCAAAGAGATAGAGAGCCCGGATAATACTGAGTATGCCCTGGAAGGGGGAGGGAGAGGGAAGGATCATTAACTAAAGCCATAACTCTACCCCAATGGCAGGGGGAGGTGATAACCAAAAGAAGGAAAACGAAAAGAAAATCAAATCTAATGAGCATTGTGAACCAGGTCAGGTGCAGCAAGGCTCTTTTTTTNATACATTGAAAATCCTAAGAAAAATTTGGTATAGAACATTAGTGAGAGTTAAAGAAACATCCAAATAAATGCTTCAGTGGCTGACAGAATCCACTGGTAGGATGGATGGTGGGTTGTTGTTAAGACAGGTTGCTATGGCTCAACAAAGGAAGGATCTTAACCTTTAAACCCCTTCACAATCCCACTCCACCCAACTCTTTGCGCCTTTCTCAAAGCCCTGTTCTCCCACCCATTTTTCTGACCCCCTTTTGTCCCACCATCACTGGGGGAGCTTTCAGTCAATACTCACCGTGCTTTGGAACTCAATATCCCTTTGTCTCGCTCCCCTCTCCTTGCCTTGAAAACTCTTGAAAATTATCTCATTTACCATACCTTTGGTCTGTGCCTCAGTCCACCCCTCCTCTCCTCTCTCTTCCCTGCTCACTGCTCGCCATTGCTTTGAGATGGTCATCCTACCTGAAAGTTGCTACGTAAGTGCAAGTTGTTATTTGCTGGTAATATTCTATAGAATGACCTTGCGAGGTGGTTTATGTCACAATTACGATTTCAAAACTTCTTTCTGTTGGAGGAAAAAAAAAGTTCCATCTTTGAAGGATTTAGAAAGATAAAACTCCTTCCCTCCCCCCTCATTCTCCAATCCTCAGTGAGTGTTTTCTGTGAGTACCAGACCCATGCATTCCTATGTTCCAGGTTGAATCTCTTGGGTGAGATGACCTCATCTTGGGCAGTAATAAGGTTGCAATCCCAGGTTTGCCAATTACTCTCTGGAGGTGTGTGTGGATAGCAGGTGAGGATAGTATCAACCTTAGCTGCAATTGACCACCCCCACTGGTGTTCAAATAGCTCGCCGACATTGAATCTGGGTTCTTGTGTGAAGAATGGTCACTTGCATGGGGGGAAAACTGCCCCTGAGTAGAAGATAAAAGAGTAGGAGGAATATTAAAGGGTGTGGAGTTGTGGAGGGGAGGTGGGGGTGGCAGAGAAGAGGGGAGGGTGAGATTAGACCAGCGTTTCATGTAGAGTCACGCAGACTGGATGGGCCGAACGGCCTGTTTATATACTAAAACATGCCAGGATTCTTCATTGTGTGATGGAATCAGAAAGCTGTCTCTCATCCAACTTCAGCTGCTCAAAAGGACCTTTCTGCAGTAGTGTAATGGATGGTATTATAAAGGGGCCACAACTGTGGGAAACCCTGCCCCGTTGGCTGAAGGCTGGTACGTGGAAGAAATGTATGTCCTGTGGTTAGCTCAAGATGGGGGGGGGGGTTAAGGAAAATGGGGAGGTACAGGCAACAAAGTAATAATAATTGCTATTCTAATAAGCAAGCAGCATTGAAACAGTTTTACACTGGAAAATAAAACCTGTGCAAATTAAAGAATAGATTTGTATTGGAATGCCATCTTAATCTAAATACTGTATAAATCCTTAATATATTTGTGTAGACGGATTCTATGTGAATTTTAATCTGCGATATTCTTGATGAGGAATTAATAAATGTGACGCTGAGTGTCTGCTCTCTCAAAAGAAAACAGTTCTGGTCGGATGCACCCCACACTGTGAATCTAGCAATGAGTTATTGTGAACAACCAGCTTTTGGCTCAGTGTCAAATAAAGAACAACACCGGGTGCGTTGAGGTTTAATAAGCAAACATGTCATTCTAATATATATCAGGCATGTTATCTCCGTGTATCATTCAGTCAAATAAAAATTCTTATAACTGCACCACGACTCACATGGCACAGTATAATTCTAATCACCAATCACCCTCTGTTAACGAGAACTGAGAGAGAATTCCACCATCTGTCTATTGCGGGAGTGTGTGTATAGAAATGTCTTTAATGGCAATTGTAGTTCAGGTGGACATTAAAAATTCTGTGGCACTCTTGAAAAAGAGAGGGGAGTTTCTCACTCCCAGTGTCCTGGCCAACAATACCGCACCAAACAATGATTGGTTACTCATTTCATAGCTGTTTGTGGGACATTGCTGTGTGCAAATGGTTCTCATGTTTGTTTACAAAAACAATTGTGTTTTGATAGCAATTATCCGTGAAGTCCTTCAAGACATTTCAACATGATACAGTGCTATGAAAAAGGAAGTTCATTCTTACCTGTTGAACTCCCAACCTCATTTAAGCAAACATTGAGATCCTAAATGAGTCGGTTCGTCATATTTACCTCTAGCTCCGTAACACTCTTTTATTACTACCAAACAGAGGTAAGAGCTAGCCCCTCTCTGCCCCGTTGACCTTTGTGGGCCTGATCACTGTGTGTCTCTGGGAGATACAATTGGAATAAGGAAGGAAGCGCTGCATTGTCGGAGGTGTCATCTTGGAGTCATACATTAAACCAGGGTCCGTCTGCTGTTATAATAATAGTAATCTTTGTGGGCGAAACGCAGCTGTCAATTGTGCACAGCAATGTCCCACAAACAGTCGTGGATTGAAGTGACCAATTTATCATTATTTTTGAAGGAATTATTAACCCCGGAAAAGCGATCCGCTCATCGACTAACAACCGAGTTCCTACTTACTGCTGGGTAATCATGGACGTGTGGAGTAAGGAAACTTGACCAACATTTC